TTATAGTGCACAGCACTGTATAGTGCACAACACTGTAGTCTTGCTGGGGGTTATTCATTGCTACCATCTATTATATACACTGTGAAAGAAGCTGTTAGAACTCATCTTCCTGAAAAAAAATCTGGATTTTATTCAAAACAGTTGCTGAAAGATTTCAATTCAAAACGCACAGCAACTAGTACTAACATTTACTATAGAAGTGGAAACACACCACTTGATCACAATTTTTTTTCCCCTAAGTCTCCCATAGAAAAAGAAATAGTGTTGTCTGCTTACAAGTATTTGGCTGGAGTTAAAGGTAATTAGAAAGAGCTTTAGCTACCTTTTTAAGTGTGCTTCAGTTATTTTAACTTACTTTTCAGTATAGAAAAAATAATCTGACTTTCTGAATCAGCATCTCAAAAGGAAATAAGGGAAACAACTACCTGGCATAAAACCAATTGCAGCACACCCCTCAAAACATTCCAGTAGCAAATGTAAAGTAAAGGATAACTGCAAGTTAGCCCACAGTGACAGATCTCAGAAAAAAACAAACTAAACCCCAAAGACTTTTGGTTTGCTTGTCTATTCTGTCTTGTTCTGGAGAGCGATTCCTGGGAACCATCTAACAATCCTAACCCAACTGCAGAAATGCTGAGCTCCTCTTACTGAATTCAGACCTTTCACATTTCTACTACATTCCACTAACCTCATTTATGGTATTAACTGTCTATGTATTGTTCTTTTATAGGCTTGAGGTTTTTTTTTGTTAGTCTCTTATTTCAAATCAACATTTTTTTTCAATTAGCAGACCTGCAGCTTGCTATGTGTGCAAAGTTTGCCAGTGCTCAACATGACCTTTCTCAGCCGTGATGCCAAAGTTCTTACATGTACCTTGCTTTAAACATCTCTCCTCTCTCTGGGATAAATTCCTGGGAGAAAATCCCCCCTCCCAGCCCCCACAAAGTCTCCCAGGTAATGGGAGTTGTGCCCCCAGCTTCAGTGGACATGTAACTTCTTGATATAGGGAACAGCACTACTAAGGTGTTCTAATTAAGAGCTGAATCCAAACTGCCAGCTCTGCACACTCCTTATGGTGGTTAAGGTTCAAGTCCAAAGTGAAATATACCACAGGCCAATAGATTTTAGCATCCATGAAGATGATAAAATTTATATTTTAAGTGTGGGCTTGGTGCAACACTTCAAATCAGAATATCCCAACAAATTAGCCTTACTTCACAGTTGAAACCAGGGACATGGGCACACTCCACCTGTGTTAGGTATAACAGTACATGGAGCTGCTTTAAGAGGGAGACAGGGGAGGACAGGGAAGGGCTGCATGAGACCCACGCTCAAGGTGCAGCGCGCACCTTCCTGCCCCGCTCGTGGCTGACACCATTATCCATCGGCCTTTGCCGACAGCCCTGGAGAGCAGAGCAGTGTGCCTTCTTCGGGCTGCATGTGCTTTGAATCTGTCCATGTTTCCTTAGTGGCACCAGTGCTCTGCAGCCTGAAAGCATCTTCTTTCCTAACCTGGAGTGATGGCCAGAGGCTTCATATGCTCACAGATTCATTTGGCTGCTGTGTATCAGGAATATTGTGACAAATTCCCTTCTCAGCTTTCATTCCATTACTCTGTTAAACTAACAATAAAGACCTATGTCTGTCTGTTCAATGACTGCAACAGGAGTTTAAATTGCAAATCTTCTAAACACAGCATTCTCACAATTATCTAAAACTGTATTTGTTATGTGATTACCCTTAGATATGAAAGGGACAGGCTACAGCTTTAACAATTTACCTTTTCAGCTGGAGACTCTTTTTTCTGAGAGCATCTCCTGCAACTGCAATGGGCCTTGACTAACACACAATCCCAGAGCTCACGTCCCAGGCGAGAGCTGCAAGCACTTACACTTCCTGAGACGGAAAATCCAACCTCTGACGCCAGCTGACACTAGCTTCAATTATACAAATAAAAACAGTCTTCCTAGAGCTCAGCCTCCCTTCCTAGGCAAGGGCCTTTTCCTGCACCACTAGACTCAGAAAACAGCATGTGCACAAACTGAAAACAGCCTCATCATTATTAATATTTACATTACCGCCATGCCTAGGGGCCCAAATTAGGGTAAGGGTCTCACTGTATTTTGTGCTCCAGGATATGAAAATACAAGCCCTGCTCCCACGAACCGACAGTCACTGAATGTTCCTTCATTAATACCCAGGAGCTGGGGCCCTGCATGTTCTCTGTAACCAGTCTGTGCGCTGTAGCGCCCAGCTGCAGAGCAAGGGATGATGCCTGCAGCAAGGAGAGGGGGCACCTGAGCAAGTGCCCCGCACCGCTGCAGGGCAGGAGAAACCCCAAGCGATGGTCAGAGAGAGGGAAGCTCCGCGGGGCAGCAGCAGGCGTGGAAGGGTCGGCACTGCTGTGTGGGGCGAGTGGAGCCATGACACGGGCAGGGACATGCGAGGGACACCCAGAGTCTCTAGGATACTCATGTTACGTCTCTCTTCACAGTCAGCCTGAGCAAAATGAAGGTTTTAGAGCATTTTCCTTTCAGGATTTATGGTGAGAATGACAGATCTTCCTCGGGTCCTACTCACAGCAACTAACATCTGTCACATGAGGCTCATTTTCCCTCTCATCTCCTCCCTAGAGGGAAATTCTCTAATTTCTTAACCCCTACTGGACCCCCACTCAATAATGGTCATTACCTCAAGAGAAAAAGGAAAAAACCTAGCAAAAAGAAGGGGGGGAAAAAAAAAAGAGAACAGAGCTAAGATTCAAGTTGCTGTGGTGAAAAATTTTAAATCTTTTTTTTTTCCAGGAAAAACAAATTTCTTTTAAATTTCTTTACATGATATTTAAGCATTGAAAAAGAAAGACAGATTAAAGTTACTGAGCAATTTTTCCTTCGCCCGTGATTTTGCAGCAATTTATCAACAAAATGGAACAAGACCATCTGACTGGGATTATTTATTATACAGTAAGGCAATTCAGTTTTGCTCACTTCACCAGGAACAGTGTCCCTGTTATGGCTAGTTACCCATCTGTGTCCTAAGAGCTTTCAGGGAAGCATTAAACTGTCATTTGTTTTATTTCCTTTCATGAAATCGTAACAGGGCCAAGGCAAAAGTTTCATACCGCTCGCCTCGCTACCTTAAAGTGGCATGGAAGACAGTAACTTCCCTAGAACCAAAGTAAATTATTGATTAGTTGTTGTGGTTTTTACTGTTTCCATTCAGTAATATCCAATCTTGATACTGAAGTATCTTTACTAAAAATTGCAGAGATCAGACAACTCTGCACCACGCTTCGGCAGGAGGGGAAGTGCCATTTTTGTGTTTTTAATCTGATTATTCACTACATCCAGTCAAGATTATCTAGATTTAAGCACTGACAGAATTTACAGCTGAGCAGGGTTGGACTTGGGAGGCTGTCATATCCTTGTCATGTGCTGAGGGTTTATCAGGCCTAACGCTTTCACTAGCACCCTGCACACAAGAAGATTGGCACCACTCTCGCAAGGACGACCAAGGCAGTTCCATTTGGCATCTTTTCCCTACTACAATTCCATCAGAAGGTCTAAAAACTTCTAGTACCTCTTCCCTGGAAAGAATGAGCAAAATAAACCTTCTGATTCAGAGAAAGATAATCTGCGTCCTCAATAAGAGCAAACATGTGGGAAAACTATTTGTTAGAAGAATGTACCTTGCAGCTATTGCCAAAGATTTTGCAGGGTGTATCTGTGCTCTGGATAGCTTTATGGCCGTGCAGTGGAAATTGCTCATAACGAAAGATAACATCAACTTTGCTGTAACACCTTTTGTGCACAAATCAAAAGTACTTTAAAAAAAACTGACACCGACTCTGTGCTGAAGCCTGAAAGGGGCCCTTGAGCCAAGGAGGGCAGGCCCCGCTCTGCAGGAGGTGCCCAGCAGTTATACAGACCAGATAAGGTCGGTTGTTGCAGCTCGCTCTTGCAAACAGACCCCAGCTGTGTGAGGCTGAGAGCAAAGATATAACACATAAAGGCAAATACAGCTTACATTTTAGTAATTTCCAGGATTTTAAGGATAGTGTTGATGAGAAATACATTTCCACACTCTGAAGTGCCAATAACTTTTTTGTTGTGGGATATATTTTGAGGAATTCCTTTGCAAAAAAGAAAAAAAAGATGGCAATATACTCTTTAGAAATGGAAAGTAAGTCTTGAAGACCCAGGCTTCTAAATTAATGTTATATTAATGTTAAATAAAGGTGCTGTGATTTCAACACATTGACTCTGCAGTTCATTCTATAAGCTAATTCCTCTCCGATTTCAATTCCCATTCACATTGTCCTCTTAATCTTAGTAATTATAGATGGTCTGCCAGTTATCAAATCTCTCTCCAAGTCCTGCACAATCCTCACCCTTAATTGCACAAATACTGTATTTTTGGAACTACGCAGCTCAGCAATACGCTTCATTTTTCTTCTCATGAATCAGGCTCTGTTAAAGCACAGCATTTACAAAAGCTCTGGCTATGTAGAGAGAAAATTACTTGCTCCTCCATGACTAACAGTTTTTAGGTAATAACAGTGCAGCTCCGCAGAGCAATGGTTAAAACTGTGCCTGTAGCAAAGCAACACGGCCCGTGGAGGTGACGTGCTCCAGGGGAAAACGTCTCCCGCGCGCTGTGATCGCTCTTCCCCAGTAGCAGCACTGCTCTGGGCGCTAGCCCGGCACGCGACGCTTCGTGGCTGCAGTTCAAGTCCAAAGCCCAAGCGGCTCCAGTGTTTGTGCTCATAATTTACACTTTGTGATGGCTTACAGACAGTTATGTACATGGTTTCATAGCCATGAATTCAAATCATGGGCCTGATCCTATCCTCAGAGAGTTCATGGTAAAATTATCTGCAATTCCAACATAGGCAAAGGTAGCCCCCAGAAGACTGAATCGTCTCTCAAAGCAAACAACCCAATATAAAATAACAATTTGGTTTAAAAACATTTTTAAAAAATGCCTGAAATCTTACTTACTAGGAAGTCTTCTTCACAGTAGACTTTACCATTGACATTGTAGAATGCTTTTCCTCGTAGTCTTCTCCCTGTTAAAATATTTTAGTGTCAGAATTTTGTACTGTTCCCAAGCCTAGGCATTCAGGACAAAAAGTCAAAAGTCTGTCTGCTGTGCCCTAGCCCATTTTCTCACTGGACTGTCCATCCAGATACCTGGGTGAGAATCTCTGGTCTCCAGTGATTCTGTCTCTGGGTTACAGAACCCAGATGATTCCACTTCCTGGTAAATTTAAAACCTACTCGCCCCACCCTCCGATAGTTATTTTGGTGGAAAAGCTCATTTGTAAATTGAAAGTTTTCTTTTCTTTACTTGAGATACCCAGTGTATTTGGCTCTGAAGGGCAACAAGCCTGAAATACCAGCATACTAATGTAACTGTCTCCTTTCAAAATGTTAATACATTAACCAATGCTACAACAGCTAGATCTGTAGCAACGAGGACAAGGAAGCACCCAACAGTACTGAAAACAAGAGACTGCATTTTCAAGTGTGAACATTTGCTATTGCATTGGAACTGGCTGAGCTTGTGTTTACTATGCATGTGGTCATCAGCAATTGATGGTGCTCTGTACAGTTGATACACAAGACTCCAGAAAGCCTCAACAAAAAGTGTCAACAAAAGGAATTCCAAGAATACCAAATCCAACAGTTCTTTATATACAAACAATCAGAAGCATCTCTCTCTACATCGGAGCAGGTCCATTGGAGGCAGTGACATTGTGAGCATAAAACCAGCGAGGGGGAAGAGTAACTGGACTCAGCCCAGTTCAGCTCCTTTCCAGCCAGGCTCCTCTCTGGCCAAAGTTTCCAAATATTTGGGTGTTCTCATCAAACCATTGGCAACTCTGGTAAGGAGATGACCTAACAGCCAACGGCAACGTCTAAGTTGCCATCAGCAAAGCACAGCAACAGCAGCACCACAGGGACGGGCGCAGGACAAGGACTTCCTACCGGACCCCAGGCAGCCTCTTCCAATTCAGTGCTGAAACATCTACTCCACAGAACAAGCTTGGACTTCCTAGCGTCCCAGGAATGAGAACCTCCCCCATAGACATTGCCTGTCCTTGCTGAGAGTTTAAGTCACAGGGCTGGTGAGCTCCCAGCAGCTGGCAGAGCGGAGTGGCTCTCCATGGTTTCCATAAACAATGTTGAGGAAAATATTATTAATTTTCAATACTAAAAAGTGTCTTCTACACATTGCCACTGCGATCTGATCCTGGGAAACAGTGTGTGACACAAAGAAGTTGGGATTTGGGCTGACACTTTTGGGAAATCACATGCTGTATGTGGTTGTCTGGCGGTTTTACTGTCGTGGTCGAGGGAAATGCTTCTTTTGTGCGCACATTCTTGGACTTTAGATCTCACAGGCTGCTGTCTCCATATTGCTGGTAGGTGGAGTCAGTTATTGTTTGTCTTTCTTACTGCCTGGTAGCTCTGCTTGGGGACCACGATCCTGTTACCCCAGGCAATGCATTGAGAAGAATATGAATCTTCTCTCAGAGACTCACTGGATGGACCAGTTCTACATGAAAGGCAATCACAGAAACAAGACACAGGGCTGGAACAGCTGCTAGGAGGACATGAGGCCTCTCTTAAGAGACAGGAGCAACTAACTCTAGATCTTCCCTATTATTTATCCAAGCAGTTCTTAAAACTCTCCAATGGAAGATATCCATGACCTCCCTTAATAGTCTGCCCTGGTTCTTAACTACACTTCTAGCAAGAGTACAGGGTCCTATTCTTAATATCTAACTGCAGTTGTCAGGGAAGCAGTAAATTTCTTTATATCCTTCCCTCTGCGAACATGGTGAGCAAGCCGTTGCCTGGCCTGCCTTACTTATAAATCTTTAGGCTCACGACTCTGAACAGAGCCCTTTACAGAGCTATAAATTTGCTTCAAAATGACCTTCACACTCTGATTCTTTGGAGGACTCGTTCACAACTTAACTTGGAGCAGACATAGTGCAGCACCACCAGTGCAGATGCTGCTGCAGGTTTGTTCCCAAGTGGTGCAGCCACTGCAATGAGGGTAGCAGGAAGGGTTCCGGAGGGAAGTCCCGCTTGGGGTTCGTGTGGCCGGGCGGCCTTGCTGTCCTCCAAACACCCCGAGTTTGGGCTGTGCTGCGAAGGCGCAAGAGGCAACGGCGGCGGCCAGGAGAGGAAACTGCCTCAAAACACAACACTGTCTTCTGTGTGGCTGGGTGTGCAATTGGTGCTCCAATGGAAATAAACGAGTGAATAATAAAATAACGTAAAAAGAAGCAGGCAGAGAAAGAAAAGAGCCAAGAATGGCTTTTTAAAGGGCGCGCTGGTTCCGCAAGAGTCAGCAAGGCCACATGCTTCGGTTTGAGATGGTGGAAAGAACACGGCCGCACCCCGGCCGAGAGCTCTCCGGTCTTCCCCGCGCTGCTGATGCAGCGTTTCCTAATTACTCACAGGGACCGGCTCGCTCAGTGCAGAAAACCTGCCTGCTCATTTCAGAGGGTGACTCTGTAGCCCTCACTCTCCCACACCCCCATTATGGCTAAGCGCAGCAGAGATGATTAGGGAGAAGTCCTGAACTCTGGCCCTGGAAGGATTCCTGCAGGAAGAGGATGCCTTAGGCCAGGGCAGAGAGCAGCTTCGCCCAAGGGACTGCATGGAGGTGCACAGATCCTGCACTGTATCTCAGTGCTTACGGGAGAGCCTGGTAGTGCTCATGATGAAGAAAATGCCCCAAACTCTGTTCCTGTTACAAAGCACCCATTAGAGAAGTCAATCAGGTCTGATTTTTCCATAGTCAGGAAGGAGTGAGAAACTATGACCCAAAGTAAATAAGGCCAAATGGTGCTCTGGACCTGCTCGCAAAGAGATGTTTCTGTCAGCAAACATGTGATGGGCACCCAGTTGCCCTAAAACATGAAACAACGTCAACTCACTCAAGTGCAGTGAAAGTGCAGGCCCTAGCTCAGACACCGCACGGACCATGAGCCCCTGTTTGCTGATCAGCCTCTACAAACCCACTGCCAGGTGAGGCAACCAACCTCCCTTTTATAGCCAATGTGGTAGAAAAGCCACAGTTTCTTATTGCACTTAAAGGGGAACACCTTTTAAAACCTAGGAAAAACACCATTTGCCCCATAATACATTCAAGAAAATGTGACTTGCCCAAATTCATAAAGCAAGTAAGCTGCTTACTTGCATAATAATTACCATTATCAACAATAATTTATAAGATTGACAAACCTTTTACCTCAGAGGAATTGCATTCAAGGATAATGTAATAAACAAGAAACAGCAAGTTATCACACAAACAGCATGAACTACACTACACTGGTTTCTACATACTGAGTTTTATAAATAACAGGAAATACATATATTCTGTTTGCCCTCCAGAAAATTCTGCTAGGTACCACCACAGAGCAGCAAGCTCCGCGGGTGCCCAGCCTCTCCCAAGGTCAGCACCGACACGGGGCCGCAAGGGGATGGAGAGGCCGGCTGTGCAGCCGGTGTTGGGCCGCGTTCCCAGGGCTCCCGGGCAGTGTGACCGCCAGGGCGCAACGCGGTGCATGGGCCCTTCGTTCCCTTGGGTGCGGGAATGGCTGGACCAGAGGAGCAGCAGCCTCTTCCATACGGCCATAACCTGTCACCGTCAGTCCCATACAGACTACAAGTCACAAACAAGATAAACATCTTAAGGAAACCAGACTTTTCGGAACTTTTGTTTGCTTTATAAAATAATTTTATCCAGTGTGTGATTGTTCAGTATTTAAAACATGCCTAATGATATTTCCTGCAGATCTACATCCCACGTGCAGCAAAGCACAAGTGAGGAGCAGCAGAACAGCATGGCTTTAGCAATGATGTCTGATGGCCAGTGGCAAGTCGAGAATTTGCCTTGCTAAAGGAGAATGACCCACAGTTGACACAGGCTGTCCACAGTTATTCTCTCCAGTCTCCACAAAACTTCAGTGCGTGGTGAAAAGAAGCCAGCCAGGAAGCCAAGAAGGGCTAAAATTTTTTTCCAGTGCTGTTTCAAAAGCTGCTCCAGGCCTCACGGAACAAAATGTGAATCAGAGCAGCTTTTATTATCTCAAGGAGGTGCTCCAAAACAGTAACCAAAACGTCCTCCTTCTCTGCAGCCAAAGCACTTTCAGGGTCCTTCCGGAAGAGGACCCGGCTGCTGCTGCTGCCGGAGATGGGGTTTCGCCTGGGGCCGTGGGTTTCCCAGGAGCCAGCCCTCGCTGGGGACACCCAGGGAGCGCCTCTCACCACTGGTGCGCACACACTGACGCCCTCCCTCACGAGGCAGGAGACAGCAGCGCCTCGCAGCCACAGCCCAATCACCGTTCGCAGGGCACTCTGAAGTTTAAAAGTGCCAGGCATTAATACGATATTTTAAGTACTTTGATGATTAAAAATACTTTGATGATTAAAAACATGCAACTGTTGGGTAATACTCATGATTTACTGGTACCGTAGAGTAAGCAAGGTCGTGCGAGAAGCCTGCAGCGTCTGGCGCTGCTCGCACGAGCTGCCCTCGGGTACAAGGGCCCCACCAGGCGCTCAGCCTCACCCCGCCAGCACCTGGCACTGCCCTGGCTGCCCCAGCGTTGAGATCTCCATCACGGTACTTCAGGTTTCTTCCTCTTCTCACAACTTCACGTAGGAAAGTTTTAGTATTAGACAGTTAGGAACAAAGCAAAAGATGACTAATAATATCCTTTTATTTCAAATGCTACAGCTGTGTATAACAAGAGGTGGGTATTTTACACAGAAAAGGTAATTAAAAGATCCCTGTATGAAACGCAAGCGAAGCGCTCAGCTGTGGGTATCGCTCCTGAGGATAGGGCAGCTTCCTTTGTTACAGCAGATCTCACTGAGGCTGGAACTGCCAAAGTTGTCAGCACAGAACCGCATCCGAGTACCTGCCATTCCTGTCCTTTGGAGACAGACCCGGGTAGGTCTGAGCACACAGTGGAGACCTCCGCTCTGCAGGGGCTTCTCCAAAAGGGCCTCCCTCCCTTCCCTTCGCCTCCACAGAGGACAT